TGCTGTATCCAGAGAGTTTATTTGCTTTTGCCCTTGTTCACACTGGATGCGACTTGGCATGCGACTTGCAAATTGCATGCCAAGTCGCACCCTATTGTCCGCAATTGGAGCGGTCACATCGGTGCGGTTACAGCTTGGTCGGAGCTGCATCGATTCTAAAGTAATACATGCGCTACTTTTGGTGTGATTTGCATAGATATCTGTGTCAGATGTCTTGCAAATCGCACCTGAAATCGGCGGGTCCCCTGACTTTGAATTCGTGCGACTTCGCTGTAAGTCGCAGGATTTCAAAGTCGGGCTTGAAGTGAACGGAGGGTAAATGTCATTTAGGTTACTGACTGTAAACTTAATGGACTAACTGTGAAGAAAAAAAAACCACCTCACAAACTGCTGCCAATTAGCAGTTCTTTCTCTAATATTAGGCTCAGGAGACCTGTTAGAAACCATAATATGCTGTGTGAAGGAAGGCTAAGGAATACTATTTTATTGTAAAAATTCCATTTTTATTATAGCAAAATAATTTTTTTTTTTTTTTTTTAAATCTTGGTGCTTCTACTCCACTGGTCTGCATTTTTGCTGAAATGTGAGTACATCCAGGTTGCCATCCTCAAACCTTTTTTTTTTTTCTTTAAAGAAAAAAAAAAAAGGATCACATGACAAATTGTTCCCAAATATCGCATGGAAAATGACAATTCACTAGGCATGCAGTATTTACTTCAAAAAGCAAAAATGCTCAGTAAATGCCACATAAAACAACCTTAAACTGTTACTAAACCCACAACGGTAAAATCAGTCTGTATATGCAGTAAAGCATGCTTGTTATACTCATGTTGGATCCTGTCTTCTCTGATCCTCCCCTTCTACTGTCCCCCAATCCATCTGCTGATAGAGCAGAGCCTTGGGGGCAAGCTGCACATGCTCCGTTTGGTGTGTATTGCTAGAGTTTTTTTTTTTTTCTCTTTGGGAGGATGCATGTGATGAACATAGGGTCAATCAGCAACGTCCAGCAGACAGAGGGCCAGGGCTCCTGCAGCCTCAGCACAAACAGGGGAGAATGAAAGCTCCTCCTACAAGCTTTAACCAGTACTCTGCTGGATACTGATAGAAGTCAAGACTGCTCTAACTGCTGATGAAAAAATGTATAATCAGTTTATATTTACTAAAATAATTGCATTTCCAAGTTCTAGTGAATGCAGGGCCTGGGGTTTAGTAACACTTTAAAGTCAGTTCACTAAAATAAATACATGCATTAAATAAGTATTGGATCAGGCATGGGATAAAGAATGTTTACACTTCGGCTGGTTGTCAATAGCTGGTTAACACCTTTCTGCCCGGCCTATAGCAGATTGACAGCTGGGTGGGACACTCCTTGTTGTGACTGGGCGTCATATGATGACATCCTTCAAAACAAGCCACTCAACGCGGCCGCACGATCTGTCCCCCACAGCTGATGACGTATCACTACACCGGCCCGTTGCCAGTGTCGTGACCGCTGTGACCAATCACAGCAGATTACATGTCAATTGTATACAATGGATGGCTACCTGTCATGCCATCCATTTTTTACAGTTGTTAACTGTGATTGGTCAAAGCAGTCACATGATACAGACAGGGCCAATCACAGCCCATCTGTATCGTGATGAGCTTTACCCAATCACAAAAGACTGAATGAATCCATTTTCATTCAGTAACAATGGTTGCAAATATCAATGAAATACATTGGTATTAGCAATCATAATGTGTTTAAAAAAAAAAAAAAAAAATCTTGATCACTTGCCCAGAGTAGTTCGTTGTTACTAGTGGTAACATTGTATTGCTTTGGTCACAGTGTGTTGGAAAAAAAATAGTAAAAAAATAATAGAAAAATTTGAGAAAAATACAAATTAAATTATTTTTATTTTTTAAATACTGTCACCAGTACGTTTCTCTGATCACCGCCACACCAGTTATTTAATAATGCTGTACTGGACTGGTGACAATATGTTTAAAAAAAAGTGTTTTTTTTTTTTTTTTTTTTTCTACGTTTAAAAAAATTACAACCTCCAAAAAACTCACCATACCTCTCACTAAATACCTTGAACTCTCTAGTTTCCAAAAGTGGGTGATTTGTGGGGTATTTGTACTATCCTGGCATTTTTGGGCCTCGAGAAATGATGGTCCGTCAGTACATCAGGATTGATCAATTGTCAGATATATATACCTTGGTTTGTGTACTCTATAACTTTCCTACAGACTAAATAATATACACTAATTAGGGCTATTTTCACCAAGAAATGTAGCAGAATACATTTTGACCTAAATTTATAAAGAAATTTTATTTATTTGCAAAATTTTATAACCGAAATGAAGAAAAAATGCCTTTTTTTTTTTTTTTTAAAGTTTGGTTCTTTTTTGTTTTATTTAGAAAAAAAAATAAAAAAAAAACTCAGTGGTAAATACCACCAAAAGAAAGCTCTATTTGTGTGAAAAAAAATGATAAAAATTTCATATGGGTACAGTCTGCATGACCGCGCAATTGTCATTTAAAGTGCAACAGCGCTGAGAGATGAAAATTAGCCTGGGCACAAATGGGGTAGAAGTGCCCGGTATTGAAGTGGTAAAGGACCTGGCAACCACTGGCGTCCTCAGCAACCAGTGAATGACTGTTTGTTAAAGTGTTACTAAACCCACAACAGTAAAATCAGTCTGTAGATGCAGTAAAGCATGCTTGTTATACTCACTGTGGAACCTAAGGGGTTAATCCTCTGCACTGTGTAAAAAGGCTGATCCTTTCTTCTCTGCCCCCTTGTTGAAATGACCACCTGATACAGACAGATGCACATGCTCAGTTTGGTGTGTATTGCTAGAGAGTTTTTTTTTTTTTTTTTTTTTATTATCTTGAGAGAGTGCATGTGATCAGCACAGGGCCAATCAGCGATGTCCATACAGAGGGTCAGGGGTTTCACATCCTCCTAGAGCAGAAATAAAACTCCTCTTACAAGCTTTAGTGCTCTGCTGAAGTCAGAAGACTGCTCTAACTGCTGATGAAAAATGGTATTTAGCAGTTTATATTTACTAACATAATTTGCATTTCCATGTTTCCAGTTAGTGAATGCGGGGTTCGGGGAGACCGGGGACACATAGTGAATGCGGGGTCCGGGGGGGACCGGACATAGTGAATGCGGGGTCCGGGGACATAGAGACCGGACATAGTGAATGCGGGGTCCGGGGGGACCGGACATAGTGAATGCGGGGTCCGGGGGGACCGGACATAGTGAATGCGGGGGGGTCCGGGGGGGACATAGTGACGGGGTCCGGGGGGACCGGACATAGGACATAGTGAATGCGGGGTCCGGGGAGACCGGACATAGTGAATGCGGGGTCCGGGGCGACCGGACATAGTGAATGCGGGGTCCGGGGGGACCGGACATAGTGAATGCGGGGTCCGGGGAGACCGGACATAGTGAATGCGGGGTCCGGGGAATGCGGGGTCCGGGGAGACCGGACATAGTGAATGCGGGGTCCGGGGAGACCGGACATAGTGAATGCGGGGTCCGGGGAGACCGGACATAGTGAATGCAAGGGCCTGGGTTTAGTAACACTTGAATAAGGAGCCCTTTACTACCCGCTAGGGTTACCAACTCTGTAAAGCACCCCGTCCTCCCATGTTGAAGTCTGGTATTGTTCAGGAGGTAGGGGGATCACTCGCTGCCCCCCCCCCTCTTTCTGTTCTGGTGGGCTGCATGCAAGATAAGGGTCTGGTGTGGATTTTAGGGGGGGGTTGGGGCACGCCATTTTTTTTATTTTTTTTTTTAGAATTGTGGCATGGTGTCCCCCACATGCCGGCTCCTTAAAAACCAGCTAGGATGTTGCATTAAAACACTGCATGTTTTCACTACTAAAATACCACATCACTTTAAGCAATCACACATGGTATTTTAGTAAAAGTTTGAAAAATGTTATGAAGTATTTTCCTGCTGATTTTAAAGCTGTAAATACCTCTGTCTGGGGGTGGAACCTCATGAATCCTAATTAAGAAAGTTAGAGCGTTTTTAAATACACAATAATCTAAAAAAAAATTTGTTGGTTGAAACCCTTGTCTTTCCTGTAGGAAATGCTGCTTCTATTTCCAAACCGTGCTGCTTACACAATCAAAAGCCTAGGCATTAATACGTATGTGTTTGTGTATTGAATCATTATTCAGTCTGAGGCAACAAAGTTGTAAAGCTGCTAAAAAGAGAACACTGCTGAATTAGAAACTGATTTTGGAATCGGTGCACGTGGGGCCAGAACTTTATAGCCCCTTCACCGAGCATCTTGATAAATGAGACTCAGTGGGGGAGATTTACTAAGGCTAGGTTCACACCTATGCAGGTTGGGTTTGAGCTGTTTCTGCATTGCGTTGCATTTTTGCTGCACTTTTGCCTAGTTTTGTGGGGGGGTGTTTAATTTTTTTCAACATTTTTTCTTGTTGCTAGGCAGATTTAAAATGCGGCAAAAACGCAATACATGCTTTTCTGCAGCGTTTCAATTAAAATCTATGTACCCAAAAACGCAATTTTTTTCGTTCAAAAAAGTCCCTGACCCTTTCCGAAAAACCGCACCGGGTCAAAACGCGGAGATGTGAACGTGTCCCATTGGAAATCATGTTAAATGAACTGTACTGCGCTTCTGCAAAACGCTGCAGAAAACGCTTAGGTGTGAATTTAGGGTAAAACTGGAGCACTCAGAATCGGGTGCAGCTGTGAATGGTAGACAATCGGCTTATACCTTCAGCTCGTTCAATTAAAGTTTGTCAATAAAACCTGGAAGCTGATTGGATTCTATGCAGAGCTGCACCAGATTTTGCACTCTCCAGCTTTAGTAAATAACCCCCAGTGTGTCTGTATACTGCAACATATCTCATGAATGTATTCCCTTTAATATGGCCGTTCTGTCAGACCATTTTTTGTCCGCTTTATGATTTGCCCCTTAGGTAAACAACCCAAATGGTGTGTGTGATTCCATCTATTTCTCTTTCAGGGGCGCCATCTGTTCAGGTCTTAATGCCAGCGCTGTCTCCTACTATGGAGGAAGGAAACATTGTGAAGTGGTTGAAGAAGGAAGGTGGGTAGCTGGCTGCAAAACATCATGTTATTTGTACAGCACATAAAAAACTGATTAGTAGTGTTTGAACAGCAATATTTAGATGCCAATGACATGCTGCTTAGTTCATTAGAAACACACACAAAGCCAAACATCAAATCATGTGGCTGAAACTTATATAGACATGCAGACATGGTAAGGTGTGCTCCAGCAAACATTAAAATGAGGAGGAAGTAATGTATAGCCAACTTTAGAAAAATACTGTGGTGCCACATGTAGTTGGAACAGCATTTTGGAAATGGCTGTCCTGGGATTTTAATGCATTATAATCTTTAGGTCTGTGGTAGCCAACATGCGTGATGTAGTGTGCCTCAAAGGTGGCTCCTAACATCACTAAAGGCTATTCATACTATTCAGTGAATGTAACGTTTAAAAAAAAAAAAAGTCAAGAGATGGCAGACCTGAAACGGGATGGTTATTAACTACGGACATGCTGCGGGAGATGGTCGATGACTATGGACAGGCTGTAGGGGATGGTCAGTGACTGTGGCCATGCTACAGGGGATGGTCAGTGACTGTGGCCAAGCTACAGGGGATGGTCAGTGACTGTGGACATGCTACAGGAGATGGTCAGTGACTATGGACATGCTACAGGGGATGGTCAGTGACTATGGACATGCTACAGGGGATGGTCGTGTCTATGGACAGGGTGTAGGGGATCGTAAGTAACTGCGGACATGCTACAAGGGACAGTGTCTATGGACATGCTACAGGGGATCGTAAGTAACTGCGGACATGCTACAGGGGATGGTCAGTGTCTGTGGACATGCTACAGGGGATGGCCAGTGTCTGTGGACATGCTACAGGGGATGGCCAGTGTCTGTGGACATGCTACAGGGGATGGCCAGTGTCTGTGTGGACATGCTACAGGGGATGGTCAGTGTCTGTGGACATGCTACAGGGGATGGCCAGTGTCTGTGGACATGCTACAGGGGATGGCCAGTGTCTGTGGACATGCTACAGGGGATGGTCAGTGTCTGTGGACATGCTACAGGGGATGGTCAGTGTCTGTGGACATGCTACAGGGGATGGTCAGTGTCTGTGGACATGCTACAGGGGATGGTCAGTGTCTGTGGACATGCTACAGGGGATGGTCAGTGTCTGTGGACATGCTACAGGGGGGATGGTCAGTGTCTGTGGCCATGCTACAGGGGACGGTCAGTGTCTGTGGACATGCTGCAGGGGGATGGTCAGTGTCTGTGGACATGCTACAGGGGATGGTCATGTCTGTGGACATGCTGCAGGGGATGGTCAGGTCTGTGGACATGCTGCAGGGGATGGTCATGTGTCTGTGGACATGCTGCAGGGGACGGTCAGTGACGATGGCCATGCTGCAGGGGACGGTCGGTGATGATGGCCATGCTGCAGGGGACGGTCGGTAACGATGGCCATGCTGCAGGGACGGTCGGTCGGTGATGATGGCCATGCTGCAGGGGATGGTCAGTGTCTGTTGACATGCTACAGGGGACGGTCCGTGTCTGTGGACATGCTGTAGGGGAAGGTCAGTGTCGGTGGACATGCTGCAGGGGACGGTCGGTGACGACGGCCATGCTGCAGGGGACGGTCGGTGGCGACGGCCATGCTGCAGGGGACGGTCGGTGGACGCTGCAGGGGGGACGGTCGGCGGCGACGGCCACGCTGCAGGGGACGGTCGGTGGCGATGGACAAGCTGCAAAAGAAAGTGACTGCAGATATGTTACAGTAGATGAGCAGACACTATGAACATAGTGTAGGAGTTGTTGGAGACGGTGACATAAGACAGTCATAGATCAGCACATTACATGAGACTTCTAGAGGTCACTACTATCGCAGCCCCTGTACAAGTCAATGCTTCCAATTTGCTCCTTGCAGCCCCCTTAAATTTGCGTGCCCTATTTGATATTTTTCAGTTCTGTAAAAGATTGGAGGAAAAACAATCCTAAAAAGATATTGTGAAAAAAATAACCCAAACCGTTTACCTACTAAAAACCAGTCGAAAAAATATTTTTCTCTACTGGCTTAAGAAAGCGCCAAATCAGACTACTGTCTGCAGGGCTGCACAGTAAATGCTTAAGGGCTTCAGGTTGGGCACCCAGGCTTTAGAGACTGGTGCGAGGGAACGGTTTGGAGAAAAAAAAAAAAAGCCCAGCAAGTATCAGTTTTGTGGACAAAAGTTCTTAACGAGAAGTCAGAAGAGAACAGGCAGACTTGTTCGGTCTGTCAGGAAGAGCACAGCTGCTCACCTAATTACCCTACAATGTTGATGTTCAAAAAGGCATCTCTGAAGGCACAGCGAGTCAAACCGTGAGGAAATACACAACAAACGAGCACACAGCGTTAGAAACCGATTATCCAAGAACAAGAACATGGGGCTACACCAAAATGGATGAAGACTGGAAAATGTTGACTGTTCTGCTGAGCCTTGAGTTTTGCTGCAAGTTTCAGACGACAGGATCAGAATTTGGCATCAACCGAATGGACCCATTTATGATGGTTGTTCACCAATAGTGCCTCTGAGGCAGTATGAATGGAAATTACTGCCTACTCGGAAAGCAAAAGGAAGTTTTAGCTAGAACTACATTGATGTACCCAATACAGACTGGTGGTACTAGAATGGTATACCCAATAAAGACTGGTGGTACTAGAATGGTATACCAGACTGGTGGTACTAGAATGGTATACCCAATAAAGACTGGTGGTACTAGACTCAGTGTAACTAATACAGACTGTGATTCTAGACTGGTATGCCTAATACAGACTGTGGTTCTAGGCTGGTATGCTTAATACAGACTGTGGTCCTAGGCTGGTATGCCTAATACAGACTGTGATTCTAGGCTGGTATGCCTAATACAGACTGTGGTTCTAGGCTGGTATGCCTAATACAGACTGTGGTTCTAGGCTGGTATGCCTAATACAGACTGTGGTCCTAGGCTGGTATGCCTAATACAGACTGTGGTTCTAGGCTGGTATGCCTAATACAGACTGTGGTCCTAGGCTGGTATGCCTAATACAGACTGTGGTCCTAGGCTGGTATGCCTAATACAGACTGTGGTCCTAGGCTGGTATGCCTAATACAGACTGTGATTCTAGACTGGTATGCCTAATACAGACTGTGGTTCTAGGCTGGTATGCCTAATACAGACTGTGGTCCTAGGCTGGTATGCCTAATACAGACTGTGATTCTAGGCTGGTATGCCTAATACAGACTGTGGTTCTAGGCTGGTATGCCTAATACAGACTGTGGTTCTAGGCTGGTATGCCTAATACAGACTGTGGTCCTAGGCTGGTATGCCTAATACAGACTGTGGTCCTAGGCTGGTATGCCTAATACAGACTGTGGTTCTAGGCTGGTATGCCTAATACAGACTGTGGTTCTAGGCTGGTATGCCTAATACAGACTGTGGTCCTAGGCTGGTATGCCTAATACAGACTGTGGTTCTAGGCTGGTACGTCTAATACAGACTGGGGATACTAGACTGGTACGCCTAATACAGACTGTGGTTCTAGGCTGGTATGCCTAATACAGACTGTGGTTCTAGGCTGGTATGCCTAATACAGACTGTGGTTCTAGGCTGGTATGCCTAATACAGACTGTGGTTCTAGGCTGGTACGTCTAATACAGACTGGGGATACTAGACTGGTACGCCTAATACAGACTGGGGATACTAGACTGGTACGCCTAATACAGACTGTGGTTCTAGGCTGGTATGCCTAATACAGACTGTGGTTCTAGGCTGGTATGCCTAATACAGACTGTGGTTCTAGGCTGGTATGCCTAATACAGACTGGGGATACTAGACTGGTACAACTAATACAGACTGGGGATACTAGACTGGTACGTCTAATACAGACTGGGGATACTAGACTGGTACGCCTACTACAGACTGGGGATACTAGACTGGTACGCCTAATACAGACTGGGGATACTAGACTGGTACGCCTACTACAGACTGGGGATACTAGACTGGTACGCCTACTACAGACTGGGGATACTAGACTGGTACGCCTAATACAGACTGGGGATACTAGACTGGTACGTCTAATACAGACTGGGGATACTAGACTGGTACGTCTAATACAGACTGGGGATACTAGACTGGTACGTCTAATACAGACTGGGGATACTAGACTGGTACGTCTAATACAGACTGGGGATACTAGACTGGTACGCCTAATACAGACTGGGGATACTAGACTGGTACGCCTACTACAGACTGGGGATACTAGACTGGTACGCCTACTACAGACTGGGGATACTAGACTGGTACGCCTACTACAGACTGGGGATACTAGACTGGTACGCCTACTACAGACTGGGGATACTAGACTGGTACGCCTACTACAGACTGGGGATACTAGACTGGTACGTCTAATACAGACTGGGGATACTAGACTGGTACGCCTACTACAGACTGGGGATACTAGACTGGTACGCCTACTACAGACTGGGGATACTAGACTGGTACGCCTACTACAGACTGGGGATACTAGACTGGTACGCCTACTACAGACTGGGGATACTAGACTTGTTTAATACAAATTAAACAAATGGTCTTTCAAGTTCAACCCCAATACAAAAAAAATAATATATTCGAATGTTCACGATATGCTCACTAGCATAGAAACAAATGGATCTGAATCAATTCGGATCATTTGTTACATTATTTCAGATGCTTCAAACATTTAGGGCCGGTTCACACTATTGAAACGTAGTTCATATGCATTCCGGATGCGTTTCTGCATGTGCATTTTTGGTGCATTTTTGACACATTCCGGTGTGTTTTTTGTGTACGAGTTCATTTCCCCCCCCCTTTTTTCTTCAATTTAAATAGGGACATGTGCGTTCCAGTGCATTTGTGATGCTTTTTACCGCGGTCCAGTACAGTTCTGTGCAGGAAAAATGCAGCCTGTTCTAATTTCTGCTTTTTTTTTTTTTTTTTTTTTTTCTCCTGCATCTGGAACAGCAAGCACTGATGTGAACTATGACGTTGACGTCCATGTAACCTACTTTTTGTGTGTGTTTTGGATGCAGAAAAACAGCAACTGAAACTCATGTAGTGTGAACTGGCCCTAACAAAAAGCTCAAACTATTGCATCATGTCATCCGAATGAATACAAATGAATGTTGTTTTCCTTATACTTTATTTGGATTATTTGAAATTGGGACACATTTGAATCTCTGAAAAACACAAATTTTGTCTGAATTTGGATTTGCAACAAATCGCACACGTATAGCTACAGCATAGGGGAGCGCCATCTGCTGAGGGAGAGAAGAATTGGGTAAGTAAAACTGCTTTACCTGTCCCCCAGACCTAGACGAGCTTAATGGGAGATGCACACACTTGTTCATTTATTATTATATGTGTCCAACGAAAGACGCTCAAGTTTTCCTAGGGGTTTGTTCCTTTTGCAATGAAGCTAAATGTTGTCTGGATGATTATCTATGTTCTCTCTTCAATGATGTTTGGAGCTTTCTATGCTGTCAGCAGAGGGCACTGTGACACTGTAAATTGCATCACGGTCAGCAAAGATTTTGTCTGTTGCGTTTTTTTACCGTGTTTTTTTTTTTTTTTTCTTTTTCAAATGGTTTTCTCTATTATGGGCAGTGCATTTTTTCCAAATGTAAGGTGAAAAGTTTTATGGATCAGATTGGACAAACTATGTTCTCCTTCTCTTGTAAAAAGACATACCTGATATAGGGGAACACCTACCTCTCCTCACTTCCCATGATGCAGCATTGAGTACCTAAGTGGCCATTTCTTAGGTCCTAATGTTGTATATCTATATTCTTATTTATATTTATGGTTTACACTATTACCCTTGTTTCATATATTGTGCTTTTTTTTCCCCTTTATGATCTATATATCATTGCTGACATTTTATACTGTATTTTTAAACTGTATTATTTTTATAATTGCCACTGTTTATTGATTTTATACTGCTCCCATTTATATTATGTTTGACATGTCTCCTGGCCTCTGAGGAGTGAACACTATACTGGACTCATTGCATAGATTGTCCTTTCCCCATCCTGGCCAATAATTTGAGAAAGGAGCGCTATTGCACACTCTCTGGTGTATTGTGCATGCTCTGAAATGTGTTGCGTCATTTCCAGCCCTCGACAACTTCCGGTCCACGCTGCGTTTCACCGCCAGCCAGAACTTCCTGCATCTACCATTCACACGGGGGTTAGATGATCTTCTTTTCCCAGTTACCTGAGACGGCCCATGGTAAGAGTTACCTGTCAGCAAGGACTCTGCATTATCTATAGATGTGCCGGGTATCTTCCTACGGCATGTTAGTGGCCAATTGTGAGCCCCTTTCCTGTGTAATCTCCAACCAGAAGAACTTGAAGCTGGCACAAGGATTTATGTGGTGAGAGAACGAATGGAAGATGAGTAGAGACAGAGGGAGGATTATTTCATTCTAATGTTGTGTTCACATATATGCAATTTTCTATTTATTACAGGTACTTACTGTATATAACACTGTCATTTTACACAGCCCTTTACATATATGTAGTATGTTCACATCAGTCCCTCCCTCATGGAGCTTACAATCTAAGGGTCTTCTCTCTCACATACTAGGGCCAGTTAACCCACCTACATGTCTTTAGAGAGGACATCGTAGTACCCAGAGGAAATCCATGCAGGCACAGGGAGAACATGGAAATTCCAGGCAGGCAGTGGGGATTGGGTTCCCAACCAATGGTTGGGATTTGAACAGATGACCCTAGTGCTGCTAGGTAGAAGTGCTAGCCATTTAGCCACTATGCTGCAGTTTGGGTGTGTTTATGTTAGGGCATCCCATTCATTTTGAATAGGCTGTCAACACACCACAACAGGCCTTAAAGTGGATCTAAAGGCTCAAGGTTTTTTACCTTCATGCATTGCATGATGCCCCCCCAGTCTTTACCTAAGCCCAGTGAACTAATGAGAAGAGAATGGGGACTGGGCCTCTATGTCTTATGGATGCATAGAGCAATGACTCAAGAATGAGCACACAGCGGTGCCCCCAGGGCAAGCAACTTTCTCTGGGGGTACTGCTCAAAGGGGAGGAGCCAAGAGCGCCATTGGGGGGCGCAAAAAAGAATTGGGCAGCTGTGTCCAGAACTACTGTGCAAAGCAGGTAAGTATAACATGTTTGTTTTTATAAAAAAAAAAAAAAAAAAAACACATTAAAACCCGAAGCTTTAGTATCACTTTAATACGCACCACGTTGCACAAATGGTTCGCATCCCAGCATTGTGGTGCACTAAAATGTAGGTCTGATGTGTGTTGGGGATGTGAATTGGGGTGCCATTTATTAAAAATGAATGACAACACAATACAGTTTTTGCGTCATTGTGTGTTGTGGTAAAATGCATGTATTAATGGTACTCCACTCTATGAATTCTGTCTTAAATAAACGAACCTCATTACTTATACAAAGTACCTCCTCCTAAAGCCCTCCCCGCTGCAGCCGCCATCACTGGAGCTTCTGAACACTAATCATACCTTGGGAAAGACTTCCATAGACACAAGAATCCTCCCCAACTCAGCTGATCGCAACCTCCATACACTCACAGGGGACTCTAGCTTAGTACTGTCACCGAGGACTAGTGTCCAAATCCTACAGTACTGGAATGAATCTCCAGAAATAAAAGATACATTTAACACCGTTCTTGTGTTTCCAGTTTCTTCCCACCTAAGCTGATGGGGTACAGCTACCTCACCCCCACTCACACTACGCTACTCATGCTCATGCTGTGCAGCTGCCTGATGTTGGCCATACCTCACCATGGCCAAGGTATGAGGCATGGACTGGCACAAGAGCCTACTGGGGTCGCACTGCATGCTGGATCCTATGGTGAAGCAGAGTGAGCTGGTCTGAAGGCTTCTGAGCAGCAAGCATAGTGCTCAGATCTCAAAGACAAGCTGTACCCAGAGGACCAGCTCCTTATTACCGAGGTGGCTGAGGTGCTTGGTGTACCCGCTACACATTGTAAGATATATGATAGCCTAAGGATTACATTACTCCCCATCCATCACTACTTACTGCACAAGCTGTACTGTAAGCTGTGCCTTGCGAACTGGCCCTTTGTCGTGCAGGTGGTTGGGGGCTTGGCACCAGCCACACAATCCATGTTTGCCCTCAAGGCTGCCTTGCCTCCCCAGTCAAAGCATATCTCTCTCCAACAACCTCTACTTACCACGACACTCAGTCAATCTCCCCCTTTTAAAATCCTGCAGTCAGCCCCCGGTTACAGGAGATCCGTCATGGGCAACCTTCATTCAGCCCTTAATCACAGCACATCTTTCATTGGCAATCTGCATTCAGCTCCAGAGCGTAGCTCATCCCTTGTCACCAACCTGCTTTTAGCCCCTGATCACAGCACGTCCTTCATCACCAACCTGCTTTTGCACCCTGATCACAGCTCATCCCTCATTGCTAATCTGCATTCTCCACTGGTCACAGCTCATCACTCATCACCAACCTGCATTTGGACCCTGATCACAGCTCAGCCCTCATCAGCAGCCTGTATTCAGCCCCTGATCACAACTCATCCCTCATCACCAACCTGCATTTGGACCTTGATCACAGCTCAGCCCTCATCAGCAGCCTGTATTCAGCCCATTTCTCATCACCAACCTGAATTTGTCTCCTGATCACAGCTCATCACCAACCTGTATTCTGCCCTGCTCACAGCTCATCCTTCATCACCAACCTGCATTTGGCCCCTGATCACAGCTCATCCCTCATCACCCACTTGTATTCGCCCCTGCTCACAGCTAATCACACACCTGTATTTGCCCGAGCTCACAGCTCATCACTGATCTGCATTTGGCAACTGATCACAGCTCATCCCTCATCACCAGCCTGCACTTGGCCCCTGATCACAGCTCATCATCAACCTGCACTTGACCCTGATCACAGCTCATCATCAACCTGCACTTGACCCTGATCACAGCTCATCATCAACCTGCACTTGACCCTGATCACAGCTCATCATCAACCTGCACTTGACCCTGATCACAGCTCATCATCAACCTGCACTTGACCCTGATCACAGCTCATCCTTTATCACCTACCTGTATTTGGCCCCTGATCACAGCTCATCCCTCATTACCAACCTGTATTCGGCCCCTGATCCTAGCACATTCCTCATCACTTACCTGCATTCAGCTCTTGATCACAGCATATCCTTCATCGCAATCTGCATTCTGCCCTTCGTCACTCCCTCTCCACCAACCTAATCCCCCTCTCAGCTCTACCTTTCTAGCTGTATTTGTACACTTTTCTTTTTTTGACATGTGTTGGAATTCTACTTTAAATAATCTAGCTTGTCATTTCTGACTATATTACCATTCAATATTCAACAACTCCTTAGTGCCTACTGTACAAACAATCTGATGCATAATTAAGCGTCTATTCCCAAGTCTCCCATCATATGATTAACAGTCTTTACAGATCTTCTTGCAACAGCACTTACTCCTCTGTTCTACTGAAGCCAGTTCCCAGCTTTGATGAATGGAGACAATATGAATGTTTTGTGTGACGAATGGAAGGGCAAAATATTTCCAGTCCAAAGCACAAATGGATTTGTCCTAGTGGCAATGAAGACGTAGGCATTATCTTTACAATTAATTGTGACCTGTTTATGATGTGGGCAGTGATCCAAACGACAGAGAGACTAATGATCAGCAGATAGGACAGAGGTTAACAAACAGGCAGTTAGATAAAGATTAATGCACTGATTGCCTTTCTGTAGGATATTCAGTGAGGGGTAATATGTTTAAAAGGGAAACTCTCACCAAAACAAGTTTGAACATATAAGAAACAGTTGAAAGTTTTGTATTGAGGCTGCTGTCTGCTCTCTCCTTTTTCAGGTGAGGTGGTGAATACAGGAGATGCTCTGTGCGAGATTGAGACTGACAAGGCCGTGGTCACGATGGAGTCCAATGATGATGGCATATTAGCCAAAATAATGGTAGGTGGTTTTAGTGTGCCTAAATGACTGACTTAGTGCTCTTTTTTTCCCTGACCCTTTAAGCCAGGGTTAGCACATTCCCATCCCCAACCACAAAATCCAGAGCCAGGTTGTTTTTGGTTTCCCCTGCACATTATAGGTCAGGCATTCTCCTAAAACTAAGCTGGGTCCAATTTCCCCTCCCCCCCACCTTCCCAATCTAGGTCAGGCCCGGCTCTCCTCCTCCCACGGCTGGGGGGGCCCCGACTCCCACATCTGGGTCAGGCCCCACGGCTGCCCTCCTCCCGCGTCTGGGTCAGGCCCCACGGCTGCCCTCCTCCCGCGTCTGGGTCAGGCCCCACGGCTGCCCTCCTCCCACGTCTGGGTCAGGACCCACGGCTGCCCGCCTCCCGCCTCTGGGTCAGGCCCCGACTCCCCGCCTCTGGGTCAGGCCCCGACTCCCGCCTCTGGGTCAGGCCCCGACTCCCCCCTCTGGGTCAGGCCCCGACTCCCCTCCTTACCTATCCAGGCCCGATGGGATTCCTCTGTTCCGCTATTTAAGGCTGGGAGGACTGCTCTCCTCCCCCCCATCTAGGACCAGCAGGACTCCTCTAGGCCTGGCAAGATCCCTGTAACCCCTATCTAGGCCACACAGGGCCCTCTCTGTCCTGGCTCTCTCTCATCTAGGGCAGGCTATGCTTTAAAGCTTCATGTTGTGTCTCTGTTTGCTTTTTTGACTGGGTAGTAGTGCTGAGCTATCAGTGATGTTTATTGAAAAGCATCACAATAGCCCGCAGCCCTTTTCTGAAAACTCATTGCAAGAAATGCCTTATCCAGTCACTGCCGAGCCTTGCTTTTCAAACACAAGCTGATGCATTTGACGCTGCCAGGACAATCTTAAAATAGGCCACAGCTGGACTAAAATAAACCCATTCTAAAATATTTGGCTTCGCTCAACATCTTAAAGTGGAATGTCTTCTTTTCCTAACCTAACAAGAGAAAGAAATGATCCCTGCTTTCCATGGGCCTCTACAGTTTACACATAAAATATATATGTTATCTTTATACTTCTATCATTTTATTCTACTCTGATTTTTTTTCTTTTCTTTTGATTCCAGCATAATTCTGTACCTACAATCTTTCCTTGATTCCGAGGCTGATACATGCTTCACTAGGCATTGCCAGCCTTACCGTGTACAGAATGTCAGAAAATATGTAATGGCAACCAGGAAATCTCAAAAACCCAAAGTGTCTGCTTACTGCACCCGCACAGGAGAGGACCCTGGTAATCGCTTGACTATCAGGAGCTCCCATATTCATCACGGTCTGCTGGTAGCAGGAGGAATATTAGATTTTGTTGTTGCTATGCCAGACAGAAAAGACTGAGGGCTGGTTCACACAATTTCAGTGTTTCTGTTGACACTTTTTTTTTGCATGTGTGTCTAGATGTGTTCTTCTTTTCTTTTTTTTTTTTTTTTTTTTTATTCCTTGATATAAGAAAAAATCTTAGGACAATGGTTTCTTATATCTGCTTCAGTGTGTTTACACACATTTTAACACGTTCATGGAAAAAACTGCAGCATGTTGTACTTTTTCTAAAAACACTGGAACTGACAGCACTGGTGTGAACTAGGCCTTTGGAATACATGGCAATTATTGTACATGCATTAGACATACGTTTTAACCACTTCCAGCCCGGGCCAATTCCTCTCCTACATGTAAAAAACATATTTTTTTTGCTAGAAAACTTGGAACTCCCAAACACATATACATTTTATAGTAGGGGCCCTAGAAAATAAAATGGTGGGCATTGCATATTTTTATGTCGCATGATATTTGTGCAGCGGTTTTTCAGATGTAACATTTTGAAAAAAAAATAGTTTAATTTTTTTTAATGTACACAACACTATCTAATATGCAATTGTTTGGTGGAATATAAAAGATGTTACGCCGAGTTAATAGATACCATACATGTTGTGCATTAAAATTGCATCCGCCTGTGGGGACAGCGCCAAATTATGGTACCTAAAAATATCTATAGACAACGCTTTAAAAATCTTTTCAAAGTTATCAGAGTTAGAGGAGGTCTGGTGTTAAAATGTATTGCTCTCGCTCTGACGTTCACGATCGCACCACATACTTCACATGTCTGGTACGATCGCAGTTTACATATGTATGCGGTTCCATTGTGCGCATTCGCATGAGTATGGAGGAATGGGCAAACATACATATTTGCCAGCACACCATGGATCTGGTGGTCCAAAAAGGTTTTTATTCCAAAAAGATCACGTCACAAAAGAGAGTGCAACATTTCGGCGCTGCACAGGACCCCTTCGTAAGGCATGGGGGAATAGGGGCGTTTTTACTTTTTTTTTTTTTTTTTTTTGCACTTTAACTTTTTTTTGTGATCAACTTTATTGCTATTACGGGGATGAACAATATCTCTAGTAATAGCATGGTCTGTAACAGGTTCTCTTTATCGACCCCCCCCCCCCCCCAATCTCTCCTTTGGCCTCCTGTGCAGAGAATCAGACACAGATCAGTCTGATCAGCAGCTTCCCTGATTGGTAACAGCTAAGTAAACAAAGGACTGAAACAGTGTGATAAGTGACAAAATTCTCGTTGTTTCCTGCTTCTGACATCACACAGTGAGAGGAATGACATATTTTCCTCTCACTATGTGCCTAGAACTGGATGCCACCAACCGTGTCCTTGGTGGGTTCTCCGATCTCACAGGAGAGCCTGGGAAGGTGGCAATGGGAGGGGGATGGGACCCCCTTCCACCGCCTGTAAAGGTAGTACAGCGGCTCATTTCTTGCATATCCTGCCGAGGTCACGTGACCTGTGATGTTCTGTTACAGCGCAGATAGTGCCATTTACCAAGGTACACTCTGGTATATAATGTAGATGGAATTAAAGCCTAACGGCAGCCTATTTTTTTTTTATTTTTTAAGTGGGGAAGGTATAACAAAATGCCAAGAGGCAACCGAAGCAGGAGCATATAGAGCCAGTGGATGTCCAGGAGGACCAGCCACAACCGTCATGCTTCTGCGGTAAGCCAGGGGGATAGTTCAGTTGGTCAGAGTGGCTCACTTGCCTGTCCCTTCAGGGAGGGAGAGTGCTCTTTAATAGCCGCTTTTGTCCAACACGGTTGAATCATGACAAGACAGGGAATGCAAAAGAAACCGCTTTTTTTTTTTTTCTGCAATCCTTTCCAACATCAGTCAAATGGATTGAGGGGGCCAAAGCAGCTTCCTTGCTTGGGGCCTCATTGTCCCTTATTATTATTATACAGGATTTATATAGCGCCAACAGTTTGCTCAGCGCTTTACAATATAAGGGAAACAGTACAATTACAATACATTTCAGTACAGAAGGAATGTGAGGGCCTGGCTCATGAAGCTTACAATCTAAAGAAAGGGGGGGGGACTGTATGAACTGCAGTCAACCACATACAAGGTAATTAGGGCCTCAAATTTGAGTAGTAAAGTTTAAAGCTGAACTCTTTGCAGTTATTGGACACGAATGCCGTTCGGTAATTAATATATCATTGAATGAACATGTTTTGTGTTTGCAGGCAGTGCAAGTACTGAAAAAACAGGTCCTGCGTGATTTTTAAAACACATCACATTGGAACACATAGTGGCAGATTCACTAAACCTAGAGCACTCAGAATCTGGTACAGCTGTCCATGGTAGCCAATCAGCTTTGTAGCTTGTTCAATTAATCTTTGACAATAAAACCTGGAAGCTGATTGGTTTCTGTACAGAGCTGCACCAGATTTTGCTCCTAGTAAATCAACCCTATAGAGCATTTGTACCTGAGTGTTGTGAAGCACTATGTGCATCGGGTGAGATGACAATGATTGGCAGCACATATACATACAGGGCATTACAATTTTTTCCTTTTTATGTCTGTGTGAATGAGCTCTCAATGTATGTTACAGGGTTTTGAATATTTATTCCTTTTCAGGCCTGTGAGGCCCCTTTCGTATGCAGGTTTGGTCAGTGTTTGCTGGACACAGCAGGATAAACATATCATTACCGGGCTGGAAGGAGAATCTGGATTATACGGATTGCGTTATCTGCACAGTAACACGTTTAAGCCCAATCACCGGTTTACAGAGACTTTTAGCCATACGCAGCAAACGTCTCCCTCATCCGTATTTAGGCCTGGCAAGCCCGTGTTTTCTTATCCCATCTCTACGTAATGCCCCATTCTGTATTATATGGAACCATTTAAATCACATTCTGCTGCAAGGCATTAGAGGCTGGCTCAATACTATTGACATGCTTTTAAAGCCCCTTATGAGGGACACACTGATATATTGTAATGCTTAACTGGGCATATTTGTGATGAATAGGAAGGAGGTGTAAAATGCATTTATATGCTGACTAAAGTGTTAAAATTCTTAAAGTGGCACTGCACTGCATCTGACTATCACAAAGCAAAAATGCCTGATATTTTTTAATATTCATAACAAATCCTCCATCCATCCATGTCACCATGCTTTATTTTGCTGAGAAATCATTTTGAAAAACGCCTCCTGGCATTTTGGGCAGTAGCCATCTTGAGTAAGGGCAGATGATTCATGTAGCAGTTACTTCCTGGAATCCATCTGTCCTTAGCTCAGGCATTAGCTGAGCTGAAAACATCAGCCAATGTGTGAAGTAAAGTGAAGTTGAATGCTATGGAGTGTCACATCTCATGGAGAGATTGGATCTAAGATGGTGACACCCAGCAGAAGTCTTATTCTCTTGTGGAAGTCTGTCATTTTTGGAAATCCTACACAAGGGAGCCTTTTATATGTAAAGAACATCTGAAGACTCCTGTGATGTATGACACCATTTGCCTAGGCATGGAAACCAGGAAGTAAATGAAGAAATGCAAAAAAAAAAAAGGTTAAAACAAGTAAATATGATATATGTTCCTATCTATTCACTAATATTAGTAGCATAAGGATTAGAAATGGTCCATGTTGATTGACAGATTGAAGTTCCGCTTAACCACCTCCCGCCCAC